GACGGCAGCAGGACAGGCGCTTGCTTTAGGTGGGACGCCAAGACGACAGGCCGTCTCCATCGTCCTCTGGACAGATGCTCTGCAGATGGCCATGCCCTGGCACCCTACAGCCCTCAGACTGCCCTTGGGGAATGGGCCACTTCATCTCCTGGGGGAGTGGGGGCCTGGCAGAAGTCCAGTGCAGTGGTCTGCGTGTGCTGGCCGGCACTGCACAGTCCTTGCACCTTGCTGGGTACCGTGCTGTGGGCATAACCACGGTGTGCTCACAAACCCACAGTGCACCCAGGTAGGGGTGGGGTGTGTTTTTCCCTTCTCTTGGAGGAAGGGCTGGCTGGAAGCTCTCACGGCAAAGCAGCAGCTCCTGCCATCTCGACGCTGCACTGTACAGTGCAGACTCCAACTATCCTAACAGCCCATCTGTGACTTTCCATTCACCCTTCTGCTGATTTTGGTGCTAAAATAATTTTCATGTGTTTTAATCAATCCTTCTACTAATAACAGCTGGATCTATTATAGTATACTATGTATTCTGCAAGTGATTTTGCATCTTTTCAGTCTAAGAAGCTGCATCAGGAACATGAAATTACATTTACATTTAATTATAGTAGGCAACTCTATATTTGTGAAGCAGGTAGGGCATTAGTGTCTGGATCTGCGCATTCAACCACCTCCATCTCTTAAAAATGCTTTGGAAAGAGTAGAAGAGGTGGTTTACATACGCTGGCAGCCCAGAGGGTCGCTGGCGCTCAGCCCGTAGTAGTTTGCCCTGCACTTGTCGCAGCGGACACCCTCCACGTTCTCCTTGCAAGGGCACCGGCCTGCCACCTTTCCCTGCGCAGGGTCCGTGTGGCTCTCGCACGCGCCGTTGTCCAAGGTACCTTCTGGGTCACAGTTGCAGGCTACAGGCATGGTCAAGGAGACACATAAGAAAGCACATTTAGATACAAGCAGGAAAACACAATGACAGAGCTGCTGGTAGGTGAAAATTCAGGATTCTTGTAAAGATAAGAGACATTCATCTGTGCTTGTTGTGTTGGATGCCTTACAGTCAATGTACAGCCACTCTTAAGAAACATTAGGAGAATGTTTCCAAGATTTGCTTTTCCTCTGGAGAAGAGTTACAGCCTTCACCTTGGTAGAAATATACCCTTTGAGGTATTAGGTATGAGGTGTGAGCATCACTCATCCACTCTTTATCCTCTTCAGACTACCTGAGGAGGAGCAGGCCCCATACTTTTGGGGATGCTCTCATGAAAACTGTAGGGTTGCAGGGGTACCACACCTGAGTCACTTCCCCAGAGCTAGTCTGAGTTGGCCATGGCTGAATTCTTTACTGGAAGCAATGGGTTCAGCATGGGACACTGCTCTCAGGATGCATCCCCTTTTTTTCCTAAGGCACTACCCATCTCTCACAGCAGAGCTGACATCTACCACACCACTCCCATTAGTAATCACCCCTTGGCTCCTTAAGGACTTTTCACGCCAATCAATCAATTCTACTACACTCAGAGCATTTATCCCATCCTATGTTAATTACTGGCTTCAGGCCATCTTTCAGAAGAAGGGCTTTTATGCCTGAAAGACTATTTTTCTTGCATATGGCAGGTGTCTAGCAAAAGTTATTACTCCTCCCACCATTTCACACCTCTTCTGTAATTCATGACTATCAGGGAACCAACATTACTACTGCTATTCATCCGTATACTGATGTTGTTCAAGAAAGATAATAACCTTGCTGGATTTCTAAGATGAGTTTCGCCATGAGTTGGAATATGCAGCTGTGTTTACCACGCTGATTCAAGGCTGGTATCCTGAGGCTACCTTAAAAGGCAGTTTGGATGTTATAGATTTGGTAACATTTTTACAACCATACCAACATTTAAGCATGGGGCTGCCATAGGGTTCAGAGCAAAGAGAATCAGAACCACCCTGTTTTGAGTCATTCTTACAGAATCTAAAAAAGGGAAGCTTACGGAGGCATGCCTGAGGGTCTGAGATGACTTTTAGTGGATCCTGGTAAAAGAAACGTTTGCACTGGTCACAGTGTTGCCCCATGGTGTTGTCCTGACAGTCCTCACAAACACCACCGCTGACCCCACCACTGGCCTGGTACACAGCCATGTCAAAGCGGCATCTGCTGGAGTGGCCATTGCAGTTACACCCTGAAAACAAAACAAAAAGTGGGGTATTTCACATTTTGACTCCTATTATTATGGTTTTGACACTACCGCTGTCTGCTGTTACCACAGGATTGCTTGCTAGTTGTGTGACTGCTGTTCCCCAGCAAGATTATAGATGCCCAGGCCTTCAAAGCTAGGAGGAAACACTAAGACTCAGGATAGAACTGAGCCCTACACTGGAAGAAGTACCTGTGCAGATGAATGTACCTGATAAGTAGTGGGGAAGACTGCTCCACTGAAGACAGATCTACCTGAATATTTGTTACAGATCCTAATATATTATTATTGTGTATCCTACACTACTCATTATTGTAGAAATAAATAATTTAGCCTTGTCTAAATTATTCTTTCATTCAGAAGAAAGACCCAGTGCAAACCAACTAATTTTCTTTTCTTGCATTAGTTGCTTTTTCCTCTACTTATCGCTTTTTTTCTCTTTATGAAAAATAAGAACATGAAACAGCTGTCCTCGTAGGGCAACACAGAACTTATGGCTAAAGGACTCCACCTATTTTTGTAGATGAGGTATGAAAAAGTCTCCCTCCCAGAAACCCAGCCACACCATTATACATTTGGCCGAGACTGTGCTGCACCCACCCCCCAGCTATTAAAAATTAAAATAATAACTTTGAGTTACGTTTGCAAGCATTATCTTGTGTCCCTTCAGCTGGCCTCCAGGGAGCATCATTGTAGAAATCTTTACATCTCTCACAAGACAAACCTTCCGTGTTATGGTGGCAGATACACCTCCCGTGGACCTGCAACGTGGTGAGAACAGAGGAGGCAGGGTGGTGGAGAGGAGAAGAGAGGAGGAGAAGAGAGGAGGAGAAGAGAGGAGGAGAAGAGAGGAGGAGAAGAGAGGAGGAGAAGAGAGGAGGAGAAGAGAGGAGGAGAAGAGAGGAGAAGAGAGGAGAAGAGAGATCTGTTTGAGGTATGCCAGCCAGATCAGGAAAATTCAAAGCTCTTTGGCTCCCTCAGCTGACACAACTCTCAGCTATTAAAATAAAAGGTCTGGAGAATACCTGCAAACTTTAACCAAATAGTTTTATAGTTTTAAAGCCGTTGAGCAACATTCAGAAAAAAAAGCACTTTTAGATACATCAAAGGAGACTTCGACTTTTTAAATTCTCCCTCTCCCCTGACACATCTCTATTTTGAGATACATATTTTCCAGTAGAAAAAAACCTCTTGTCCCCAGACGGAAAGAATTTGCAATCATGTTCTTGAATTTTTTAATAATGTTTTTCATGGGTTAGCTTTGCATTATCAGCCATTCTTTGTGCCAATGCCTCTTTCCTGCTGCAGAGCCTCCAAGCTCAGCTGAAGTGTGGAATGCATCCAACAAGTGGCCATTCAAGTCTGCACACACCACAGGCTACTTACTGCATTACATTTGCACCATTACAGCTCTGGTATTTTGCTGCTATTATCAACATGTCTTGTCCCAGTTGCTCATGCCAACAAAGAGACAGCTTCTGAGCAATCTGGCCCAGGGTTTTAAAGAAAGAAATATTTTACAACTTGCAGTTGCAAATGATCAATCCAAAGACCATCAGAGATCTTCCTTCCTCTCCCTCTCTCCCTCTCTTCCTTCCCCCAGAGCAGCGGGCAGGGGCTGCCCTTGTTGAAGATGGCGTTAATGACGCACCATGCCAGAGTGATGGAAAACATCTCCCCGCAGGCTCTGCACAGGACCACAGTGGCTGGCATGGCCATTGCAAAAGCAGCTGCCTCGCACAACCATCTCATAGACAGCGTAGTAGTACTTCTCAAGGGGATCACTGTGCCTTGTTCCAAGAAGAGCATCCCCAAGGGTGTGGAGTTTAGTAAAATTGATCCTTAGGTTTGTCAATGTAATGAGCTCTGGAAGGAAAAAAGAGAAATCTAGAGCCTATATTCACTGGAAAATGAACAGTATAAAAACTTCAGGTTGGATCAGTCATTCATGAATTCCCCCATACTGAAGTAACAGTGAAAATGATTGGATATTGGCTGAGACCAGTAATCCATGCAGTGCCAGGGCATGAACCCGCTCCTGGCACAGAGCTGCACGTGTTAGCACCCTCCTTGGTATGGCTCTGGCCTGCACCAACCTGTACTTTCCCAGCCTGTGTCTTTGTGGGCTCATGTAAACCCCTGGGGCTGCTCCCACAAAGCAATATGGACTGGGCTATTTGATCCCAGAAGGAAAGACAGTTTAGCTGTGTGGATGAGCTCTGCAAAGCTGTGCTGCTTGCTTCCAGAGCTAGAGAACAGGACTGGCCCATTTTATGTATTAATACAGATGGCTTCCTAAGATGTCTTTAGGTACCTAATCTTCAACATCATTGACCTACATCAGCTGAGCTGTTGACCCTTTTTGTACAAAAAAGGTTTGACTTTGTACAAAACAAGCAACACCAGCAAAGTATCTCAAAAGCAAACCTGTACTGGCCATACCTTGGATATATGGCATATATGGATCTTCTATTTCAAAGCTGGGATCCAAAGCTTTTAAAACAACCTGCAAAACAAATTAATACAGCTCTATAGATCACTGAAGCTAGTCTTTTTAGATATAAAGGCTGTCACCTGAGACCTAGTAGTTACGAATGCCACTTTACTGATTCCATACAAGAAAAGAACAAGGCTGTGGCCTTGATTCAGCAAGTGCTCTCACCCTTTCTTATGCTGACTTTGGCTGAGCAAGGCAAAAAGACTTTTGGTGGGTTGATATGTCAGGAGGAAGTAAAAGCAATGCCCTAGAGTTATGCAGAGATGGGATAAGTGCCCAACAGAGGGATCAAAGGACAGGCCCCTGCCCTGAGCAGTAGAGGTTCACAGGGACTCAAGATCTTTTACGAGGGGCACTTCCATGTGAATTCGGAAACCAGGAAAGAGCAGTAAAAGTTTTTGTGCAAGTGTTATGAAATCATTTGTATGTGAAACAGGGTAAAACACAGCATTTGTCTTCCCCTCTGTAAAGAGAACAGAGTTAATGACAAAGTCCAAGTCACCATGTACACCATGCAGCTGTAGGCCTGGAAGCATGAAAATCAGCACTGGTGAAGTGCTAAGCACTGGGCAAGTGTGGCGACCATCACCAGCTCAATATCTGGTGTTATCTGGGTGCCAGGAGGAGTGTGAAACGGGGTGGAGGCCTCCTGGTCCCAGCCTTCCGATGGCTTAGCCTGAAACAGAAGGAGCCACTACCCCCACCTATGCAGGTGTAAATCAACAGACTTTGTGGCATTAACTTAAGCAATAAGATTGTCTATAGTCATCCCCACCCGCACGTACACCCCGGTGATGTAATGTAAAAAACTCAAGTATAAATATCACCCCAATGTTGGCCCCAAAACTGGGACAGGATCGACTCGGAACCATACCGATGACAGGACGGATTGACGAATTCGCTCCTTCGCCATCCCCCCCACGTGGGACGCCGTGTGGGTAAGATTATTTACCTCAGCCAACACTGAGAGACAGACTTTTCCTCCCCGGGTGTATTCATATTTTTCTCCTCAGGTGCATTTCTATGCTTCATACTGAGTGTACCCTTGATTCTTGTAATGACTTTACTGTTTCTTGGTCTGTTGTGTTTTCTGTTCAACAAGTTTGTCTATATGCCAGGCATCCAGGCCTACAGCGAGCAAGTTATTATTGTTTTGGGGTGTGTGTGTGTATATATATCTAGTGTGTTGTTGTTATTAGCAATAAACCTTTAGTTATACCGGTACCTTTTAACTTTATCACCGGCAATCCAAAAGAACCTTTAAATGTTGCTGTAAATAAACAATTACCATTTGCCTCCTGGTCTGCATCTGTCGCATATTCGGTGTCGGTCACACAAGACTGGATTTATCCCTCCCCCCTCTTTGCAACACCCTCTTACCTGAGTAAAATCTTCACATCTCAGAACCTGTGTAAGTGGATCTGATGGATACAGATAAGAGACCTACAGCTCCAGAAAAATAGCCACACATGATCTGAACTCATAAAAACACCGACACTTGGCAATACCTCGCCTTCAGTGGAGGGCTCGATATCTGAATATCTTGAATCACAAATGACGTCTCCCACACTCTTTGCTGGGCCAGAAGGGATGTTGGGAAAAGAAGCTGCACAGTCCTGTGCAAAATATCTGAACGCTTTCCAGGTCTGACCAAAGTTGGTGGAGCGCTCAACCAGCATTGCTGCAGGCCGAAATGTCTGCAAGAAACAGAATTTCAAGAATTCCTGAACCAGGCTTTGATAAGACATCTCAGGGTTGTTGTATTGACATTCCTCTTTGGGGGATGTCAACAGCTGTCAATCAAAATTCTGTTTGGAAGCTCGCAGGCTCACTGCAGGGCTACTGTGCTAGTACCACCATTCTCTAAAGAAGCTGAATTCTTCATTCAACCCACTCTCTAGCAAAAGGCAAGGGTAACCTTCCATATAGATGAAAGATTACTTTCTAAGTAAGAAAGTTTACCATAACAATATAGGAATTTTATAGGAAAAAAATCCCACATTTATGGATCACAATGAATATGCATGAAAAAGCTAAATTAAATTTGAAAGAGCAACTGCAGTTCAGATATGTCCTACATTTTTAGGGCTTAGTTTTGCAATTTAATTTATTTTCAGCTTTAATTCTCAGATTTATAGAAAATAGGACCAGAAGGCACACAAATAGGAAGCTATTCAGTTTATCCTCATCCCCTAAGGCAGGATCAGCTATAATTTAACTATACTTGACAGGTGTTTATCTAACCTGTTCTTACAAACCTCTAAAGATAGAGCTTTCACTGCCTCTCTAAGCATTTTATTCCTGTGGTTAAGTAATTAGTGTATAACATTACATAAAAGTTCTGGTAAAAGATGTACCTTAAAAGTCAGGATAAGATGGCTGAACTGGAATAAAGTTTCTAGGTCCAATCTAATGCTGACATGGTCAATGCCTGAAAAGAGAATGAAAATGAAGTGAAGAGCACAATGTGCACATTGGAGGGGCTGCTGGGACAGCTTTCCCATGGGGGATTTAAAGATGCTTTTTCCAGCAGAGCAGCTAAGCTCTTTAGGGCACAAGCCCAGCATGTGGCTGGATCGCTCTCCCGAGGGCAATGAGATGTGCTGCCTTTCTGGCACTGGCACTGGCAGTGCTGCATGTCACTGAGACTGCAAGAGGTGGTTAAAGGCCCTGTTCAAATTATTCAGACTTCAAGTGATGGTGATGGTAAAGGTTCTCGGTTTATGTCTTCCTGTACCCCATCAGGTTTTTTTAAATCCATCCAAATTATTAGCTTATTTCTAAGAAAAAAATGAAACTAAATGAAAATATGGGGTTTTCTTCATGCTAAACAGATCTGTTAAACCCTTCTCTACCAGATGTGAAATTTGTCATGAGCAGAGCTATCACACCAGGCACCTTCCAAAACTGCAACAAGTATGGAAAAAAAATGCCACAATTCACACATTCTCTGTAGAGAACTCAGGTGATAGCTCCATTGTTCACATCTGTATGCAGCATCCCAGGGCTCCTGCTGACCACACTGTGCATGAGACCTCATCCCAGAAGAGAGATGGGGAGAGCACAAAAAGATCCTCTCACTGCTGGCCCACAGCTTTATCACCAGTGGTGTCCAAAACAGGTGACTGTTCCTTGTTAAAATCCATGAAAAAACAAGGATTATTAATTCTTAGTTGGATACCCAAAACAGGGGTAATTCACTGTATGTCAAATAAGAGTCAATGCTGTTCCTCCTACCACACCTCCACAGAGAAGCTATAAGAATAATATTTTGACCAATGGCATAGTCAGTGGGATTGAATGCACCCTCAGCAAGTCTGCAGATAGAACCAAGCTGAGTGCAGCGCTCAACACACCAGAGGGACGGGATGTCATCCACAGGGACCTGGGCAAGCTCAAGAAGTGGGCCTGTGTGAACCTCATGAGGTTCAACAAGGCCAAGTGCAAGGTCCTGTAGCTGGACTGGGGCAAACCCTGGTATCAGTACAGGCTGGGGAGTGAAGGTATTGAGAGAAGCCCTGTGGAGAAGAACTTGGAGGTACTGGTGGATGAAAATCTGGACATGATCCAGCAATGTGTGCTTGCAGCCCAGAAGGCCAAGCATATCCTGGGCTGCATCCAGACCACATGGCCAGCAGGTCAACGGCCGTGATTCTGCCCCTCTACTCTGCTCTGGTGAGAGCCCACCTGGAGTACTGCATCCAGTTCTGGAGTCTTCATCACAGGAAAGACGTGGACCTGTTGGAGTGGGTCTAGACAAGGCCACAAAAATGATCAGAGGGTTGGAACAAACTGAGATAGTTGGGGTTCTACAGCCTGGAGAAGAGAAGGCTCCAAGGAGACCTTATTGCAGCCTTTCAGTACTTAAAGAGGGCTCATAAGAAAAAGAGACAAACTTTTTAGTACGGCCTGTTGCAACAGGACAAGGGATAAGGGTTTTAAACTAAAGGAGGGTAGATTCAGACAATATACGGAAGAAATTTTTTACAATGAGGGTAGTGAAACCCTGGCACAGGTTACCCAGAGAGGCGGCAGATACTCCATCCCTGAAAACATTCAAGGTCCTGTTGGACAGGGCTCTGAGCCACCTGATCTAGTTGCTTATTGCAGGAGGGTTGGACTTCCCACCCAAACTGTGACGTATTTCTATGATATCAGTGAAGAACTACTATGGAGAAGCTTGTGACAAAATTAACACGTGGAAATAAGGGTGTTTATAGCCAGGATTTATTTAGTAATTTCCTAAATTATTACTGCTTTACACTGCAATCAATACTTTTTTAAGCGGATATTTGTGTTTTACATGCTCTGTCTTTTCACATCTGTACGCAAATGTGCCTTTCACCTCAAATCACATTCCTGTGAAAGGCAGACACCTTGTGAAAAATACATGGCCACAGCTGCAGATCCTCTGGCCAGCTCTTGGAGATACTGTGCTTAAAATTTGTATGTAGAAAAACAGAGTTTCTGAAATCCTATATTGCTACACACAAATAGATTTAAATCATTCAGTATTACCAAATCAAATAACAGATGCAGTTCTGTTTCATCTCTTCTTGAATGTGAATGTCAGTTACTAATAAATACCACAGTAACATTTTGCAGTAATATTTTACCAAAGAAACTTACCATTTTCTGACTGCCACCACTTCTTTTTCCTATCAGGCTCAAAAGTTGTGATAACATTTTCAACCATGTGACTGTTGTGCTGTGTATAGGGATTATACGGGTATCTAGAATCACAGAGAAAGCACTTCTGTTCTGCCTAGAAAATAAAACGAGCAGAATAAAAGATGCATTTGGTCTCTTCTTTAAAGATCCAGTGGATGTTCACATATTTATTCCATGGCAAGACTGGAACCTGTCATATTGCTTTGGATGCCTGTGTTTTTAACCACTCGGGCTTTCATATAAAAGGGACAAGGTGAAGAAAATAATGATATGCACAAAACGTATATAGTAAATGTTTGCCTCTCTTTGTCCTGTGCAAACTCCATAAAAAGTACCCTTCTTCAGTTGTGGAGAAGGGATCTCAGTAAGAGCAGAGAAATAAGTTTGTCAAGGTGTTGATTCTGGGGTTAGCTGCCAGAGGGTTTGTTTTGCAAGAGTTTCTTGGGAGGAATTTATATTTTAAAAGCTGAATTTTTATTCATGTCTCATAAAGGCTGTAGAAACTTTCAGCCAGAGACAGCAGAGAGGAGGCAGAGGGGATACAAGGGAGGACTGGATCTTTCAAGATCTGAAGAAACCTTGAATAGGAACATTCACTAAATAATTAATATATTTTTTCCTCTCTCTTTTTTCACATTTTCTATCAGCTCAGACCCCCAGCCAGAAGCAGCAGACAGATGCTGTTTTAAAAATGGAAGGCAAGGCTGGATCCAGGTACAATGTAAGTAGGTGGCCTGGGCTGACATCATCACCCTGACCACTGTCAGTGACTTTTGTAGTAATAGGGAAACTGGCAAGTTTAAAAATGATGCAAAGGGGGAAAATCAGGATGTCAGTAGGATGAAAGGGTCTTATTTGAAAATGTAGCAAGCAGAAGAGGAAGGTGGCAATGACTAGCCAATATCTCTATGCTGAATGAGAGGATTTTGCCTGCAAAAGGGCTTTGAAAGTGAGGGCAAGGAGCTCCTATTTAAGGTGATAAGAAGGGGATTGAGTGGGAGAGGTAAGGAGAGGTGACAGGGTTAACATGCTGGGCTGGGAGATGACCCGTGTTGAGACATGTGGACAAGTCCAAGCAGCATGGGATTGCAGCTGGCAGGGCCAGGGGAAGTATATAGACTGTAGATTTGGGCAGAGCCTGAGTGAAGAGTCAGGAATAAGCCAAAGCGGGAGGTGATGTGCGCCTGCTGGCAGGGAGAAGAGGGGATGACACAACACACCAAAGGGAGCTGAAGGCAGAGGCACAGATTCTGTGCACATAGCTGAGAGGCTGGCAGGGATGCTGATAAAAACAGAAAGTGGAAGTCAGTGATGGGAGCTGGGCTGGAGATGACCCAAAATGGGATGGGTGGAGAGGCACCCCACCCAGGACACTCGGGATCTAGACAGAAGGATCTGGAACAGTTTGTACATCTTTGTATTATGAAATCACCTGGGAATTATTCACATTTAAATAAACTAAGAGATACAGATTTACATGTATGGTATAATTTACGTGTTTTAAACGTCATGACAAATATATATTTTATCTCACCTCATTTCACAAAGGTCTGGTAAGGAGAGTTCAGGCTATCAAAGCATTTGGCAGGATCACACCCCCCCCCTCTCTGGTTTATATAGAGGCATACAATATGATATTCAGTCAACTTATGTTTAAGGTTGCTCCATAAAAACCATTTTGTGCCCCAAAGGACAAGCACATGTGTGTCCACATAAGGCAAATCTGGCAGATCCCATTTGCCTCTGAAGCATGCAGCTTTATACTCTCCTCAACACTAAGTCCTCTTTCTTTTCCTTTCAAAACGTGTAAGTAGTGAATCCAACCATAGGGCTAAAACCCATTTAACCTACATTTAGAAACAGTAAGACACATTAAAGACTGAAAATGATTCACAGTGCTCCTTTTCAAACACAAAGCAGTTGAACTTTAATTTTTTTTCCAGTCTGAATTTTCAGTCCAAATTGAGTCCTGCTTTTAGCAGCTTGCCCTATTGACTAATACACACTCCAACAAGAAAGGTTTGCTCTTGTCATCAGGAGGGGAACTGGGGAAGGAAGAACTTCACTTTGCAAGATGCAAAGCTCTCTGGCCTGCCTCCAGCAAAGCATTCAAAATGTGCCAATGAGAAACACAATTGAATTGCGTGGGACTCTACTATAGGTGACACACATTTAAGGTGAGCTGACAAAGCAAAACACATTGCCAGAGCCATAAGCCTCTATCTCTCAAACTCTGCAAAGCAGCAGAATTTCTAGTTCTCACCCTCTCCAGGACACAGTCACCAGGGGTCAGGGTATGTTGAAGCAGCATTAAATCACAGGGATTATTGCAGAACAGCTGTTCCTTGTCATAAGTCTGTATTTACATAATTCAAAGGATAACTGAAAAGTTTTTTGGTTTTTGTTTCTTTTTTTACTGCTCTTTGATCTCCTTTTAAAATGCATAAACAAAAGGCTAAGAGCCAGTTAAGAGCCAGAAGGAGGATGTCTCTAAGACGGCACTATGTGCCCATCTACGAAGCAGTGCCAAGACTCAGGCTATTTCAGAAGAAGAAAGAGCTATTTACATTTTGCAGAAAACTCTGGTTGCAGTATTTAACATGGAGCAGTGCTTGGTGACATCTCAGTATGGCAGAGCTTTACTCTGCAAAAGTGTTACACCATTTTGCCAGAAGGTCATAAACTGTAATTATTTTCAATTGCTTATAAATTAAGCTGTATTTTAAGAACTTCCTCTTCAGCTTAAGCTGGTATTTCGCAGAAGTATTTCTATTTGTGATAATTTATTAGCTCAGCGGGGCCAAGGCCTCCAAGATTTGAAACAAGGGAATTCCCATTTCTGCCTGGTGCAGCTCCTGCACGCCTGCTTTGGCCCCATTGCTGTGGCCAGGGAGTGAGATGGATCCCTCTGATCACCCATATTTTGCATCTGCCTGCCCACCCACACGGCCAAACACTGGACTACACCATTAGGTTTTCCCTCTGCTAGAGATGGCTTCCTGCTTTTATCAATGTTGGTGTTATTTCAGATCAAAAGGCATGAGGGGACATGGTGTGAATCTCTTAACAGGCTGTGTCAGGTCTCAACACTATACGGGACATGACTTCCAGCACAGGTCCGTCCAGGCAATGCCTACAGCCTGCAGGGCCACACTCCTGCACTCACACACACACAAACTGTGGTCTTCACCTCTGAGGCATAAGTGGGAAAAGAACTGGCAGAGCAAAGCTCCTTCAGAAATCCCTGTGTTCATTCGTGTCTTGTGGATGCTTCTCCCTCGTGAGAAGCTATATGTCACAGTGGAGGCTGTTTGCTGCCAAAGCCTCCACATGTGCTGCAGTAAGGCATAGCCTGCCACTGGACTTATGTCACACTAGCTGAGGATTATTCAAAGTCCAAAAAAACCTTCCTAGTCTGGGCAAATTCCTTTCACAGATGAGAATATTATTATTAAATAGAGATTAGTTTATAAAAAATGAAAGAGAAAACCAACCTCTAGGTAGCCCACAATGCAATACTTCTGGGGGCTGTTCATCCCACAGGTTGACGAGGCTGTTAACTGCTTGCTGCGACCCAAGAGGAGGTCCCCAACAGCCGGGTGGCAGGACCCAATATCACAGTCATCCTGTGCATGCTGGACTCTTATCAGCACTGAGCACGAAAGAATATCACAGAGATGAAATTGTTTTGTATACCCAGCAGTATTCTTCAGACAAAATCAGTTAAATCCCAATACCAGCAGAAACCTGAATTATCCTTTGCCTGTACTCCTTTTGTCTTTAATAATACCACTTGATAGAATCTTGAAGAGCTTTGGTAATGCTCACATCTGTTGCAAAATCATTATTAAAAACACTGCTAGCATATTGCAAAACTATGCTAAAAAAAATTCTCAGCACTTTGTTGTGCATCAAACATGCCAATCTGCTATGAGCAGTAATTTATTATTGCTTCCTACCCCGGTATACCCATAGCCAGCAATTCTGTAGCAGAATCACAGGCATTTCAATTGACTCTGTGAGCAGAGCCAGATTTGGATTAATTCTGCTGATTTCTGTTAATTTCCGAGTGATAATTGTGGAGCTGAGACCAGAGGTCCCTCAGATTTTCTGATGATTTCCAATGAACCACTGATCTGGTCTTGGAACTCTCCATTCAGCCCCCATGGAATGGTCATTAATAAATAAACAGAATAATTCAGAATTGTCTAAATAATGGCAGGATCTTTTTGTTTATTTTGCCTGAAACAACTTTAAATATTTCCACATTATGTTAAGACTTTCCTTACAGGGCTTGTCATTTCAAGCAAGTTCTGTCCTGAAATCCTGAACAGGAATAGGTACCTTGGAGGCTTTATCTGTTCAGCTTTACTTGGCTCAACTTGTAATAAAAAGTGCAGTTAAAAAAAAAAGAACTAAACAATTGATACAAGAAGATCCCACAGAACACTAGAAACGGTAATGCAATGACAACAGTAAAAATACAGTATTTTACAGCCAGATTTCAGTCTATGGCTCAGGCCATATTTCAGGTGATGAGTGACGCTTGACTCTTCAGGTATAAAGGAACACATAAGTTTGGTTAGCCTGCTCTTCTTTATTTATACAGATCCACACTCATTATTCGTTAGCAGATACTGATTGCCCCTTTCAGGATCTGATTCAGAATCAATTACAACATGTATCTTTTTTTGTACTCAAAAGTTTCATATCACTCATAGCTCCCAGGCAGGAGAGTGGGGAAAAAGGACTTACTGTCACATGGAGATTAACAGTGCACTTAAAAGAAGCACTCAAAATCTTGGAGATGGATATAAATCCCATGATAATATTTTAAAATTGGCCTGAGTAGCTGTAGAATCTGTACTTACTGAGGTGTAACAGGATGGTCAGCCTCAGCCTCATGCCTCCCCGCCAAACTCAAACTGGTACTGTTGCAAGAGAAGAACTGGTGGGTCACTCAGTCCTCTGCCTCACCAAGGCACCACTTGTGTGTAGGCTTCTCCACAGCTAGCCTTTAGTAAATTGACAGAGCCATAATAAAAACATAAAGGAAACCCTGGCTTTGGTTTTCTTCTAATGAAAATTTAAGGATGGAAATTTCAGGACAGAAAGCAGGGTGAAAGCAGAGGGACACCTCACAAGGGTTTTCAGAGAAGACTGTGAAAACATATTCACACGTAGTGTAAAATAAACCCAGAATGCTATTAGCAAAAATATTGTACTATTCAAATACAAGCTATTTAATCCTAACTAGATACAGTAGGGCTGTTTGCAGAGATCTGACTCCTTCTCTGGATGTTCCTGTTTCTTTCAGCTAACTTAAAATAAAGACTGAGGTCCTCATGAAGATGCCACTGAGAAATGCTGGACACTAGGTGCTATGAATTTTCGCAGAGACAAGATTATAGCTGCATCTTAAAGTGCAGTGAAGAAAAACAGGTAATGTCAGTATCAATGCAAAAGACTCATACAGGGCAACCTCAGTATGAACCCAAGGGAGGTTCACTGTGGCATTTACTTCACACTCTTCCTATTCACTTGGAGGAAACTAAGATTTGCCAACACAAAACCTCTGTTGGAGAAAGCAGCCATCAGTACAAAGGACAACCCAGCATCCTACCACCAAGCAGAGCTCCCAAGCCACAGTCTGCCCCCCACCTTTGTGCCTTCCACCTCTTTCTCCATCTGTAGGCACCAGGAGGGCCAGCGCATTTGATGCAGCTCCAGCTGCTGGGGCACCCCTGTGTGAGAATCTCAAAGTGCCACTTCTTGGCTCTGTTCTTGTTCCTCATCTTTGCACAGCTGTCACTGTGCTGAAGGAGCTAAGATGAAATACCCACCCCAGAGCAGTGGGAACATAAGCAAAGGCATTCAAAGTATTTCAGATGTTACAGGCTCCATGTAGAAATGGATGAAATTCAATTCCACCTATGAAATAGATGGCTATTTCAGAAACTACAGGTCGGGAAAGCTATCAAGGGTCACCAGCCTTCCGTACTGTTTCAGCTCCTCTCACCTGCCATGACCCTGGAGAGCCTGGCAGGTGATGGGGAGACGATGCCAGCAAGGATCTGTGCAGCTGTGCCTGGCTCATCAGCTACCCAGAGAGCTGGCAGCGGAGCTGGTGTCCGAGGCAAACCCAAGCAAACATTTTCCTGCTGTGTTGGGCTTTAAATTTCATAGTCTGTCAGAACAATGGAACAGAGATGACTTAAGCTGCAACCAGCAACAGCGCTGTACTGAAATGTAGGTATACATGGTAAGACTAAACTTAGTAGGTACGTGTCCCAGCCCCCACCCTCCTAACACAGTGATGTTTGATACCAATGATACTCTTTGAACATGACTCCCTTTAACATAGAAACAAGGACCAACAAAACTGCAACACACTTTAGTTCCATGCTTAGCAGGAAAGTTAAATATTGAAAAGGTCTTACCTGGTTTTCCGACTGCCAAGTGTTTCAGCTGAAAATGAGCACAACTGACTGAGGGAAGCAAGCAAAGGCATACCTGTGTGCTTCAGCTGGAGAAGACAGCGTGTCCCCCGAGGCACTGAGGTGTAGGTGAGAATGAGACCCAGCCTGCAACCTGTCAAAGGCTTGATTTGTGAACTCTTTCTGCCGGAGCTTCTGGCATTAGCAAATATGTGCAGTGAAAGAAAAGTGTGACAGGTTAAGTTCACGGCAGAAAAACCTGATGCGACTGAAAAGAGAAGGCTGGGATTCTTAAGGTGCTGGCAAACAACTCTAATTGTTGTTTAATTGTTGTCTAATTGTTCAGTTGGTCCAGTTTGCAACCAAACGTCAAAGTCTAGTGGCACTGTTTTATCTGAACATGGATGAGCTAGAAAGGATGAGTCTTCACAGTAGGGGTGCAAATGGGGTGCAAACTTGGGGTGAATTTGAAGTGACTGTGAACATGCCTACCTGAAAGCTGTGATTGCACTCAGGTGGATGTAGGAAGTCAGCTTCTAATTAGCTCAAGCTCCAGACCACTGCCAAGAGTACTAGGTTTTTCTTAATTTAACGCTAAAGACAACATGGTGACTCAAATTACAGCTCTGCACTCCAGCACAAGCTTTACCTGTAACTGCTCACAGCAGCAGGCACAGGGAAGGGCAGTGTGTGAGTACAGCATGGTCATGGGAAATGTGGTGAAGTAGCAGCTCCAAAATCGTGTTCCCCAACTCATGCACAGAACTGGCTGCAGTTTTTCGGTGTCTTTGTTGAAACTTGTGGCACTTTGATTCCAGTTTTCAGAATGGCAGGTTGTCTTGGGTACATATTTTAAGTTGTAATATATTGGTTATCAGTTTTCCTCCAACTGCTTGTAAGGCTTAATTCATGATTTTCTGTAAAGTATCAACACATCTTCAAACACAAAGTTTTCTCTATTTGCAAAATATGTTTTGTAAAATAACCATCACTGTTGTTTTGTTAGTTCCTATTCTTTAAAAAAAAAAAAAAATAGGTGTTCTTTATTCCTATTGCAATGCTCAGTGCTATGTGTCCTCTGCCACTTATATTATTGTTCACTCTAACAGAAATAATGCATATACTTATATTTTTTAAAGTTATTTTCCTCAAGAGCATCTGGAAACTTTTTTGTGGGAGACTTTTTTCAGGCTAATTCAGTCAGCATTTGGGTTGTATTCATCCATGACTGATTATAGTACAGATGGTTTATATTCAGTGGGTTTCAATATTAAGACACAAAAGACTAAATTATGTATTAAGATATTAATTTTAAATTTCTGTGTAAGCAGTATGTCAAGTGCTCTCTGAAAGAGTGACATATAACTGAGGAAAATATTAGGATTATAACGCTACTAAACTATAGAATGGTTGATGTTTTATTAGCATATTTGGTAGGGAATTTAGATTTTGTTACAGAAAAGTTATGGGAGAAGTAAATATCAAGGAAGAATTATTTGCAGAATATAGCTGGTCCTGTGTTTTGATTTATGCAGGACCCCAAGCAAGAAGGTTTTAAACTGCTTGAGGCAGGGATTAAGAAACTTCTTTCTTGCTTCTTTAATCTCTCTACTGGTAAAGGATCTGGATTTATAATGCATCACTCATCCCATGCTGGCTGGAGGGTAGATTGCACCGGTGCGTGATCTTTCAAGTCATCACAGGTCCTTCGGTTGTCATTTCTCAGGCCCAAGGCATCTCCATAACACACACAAAGGACAGGAGCTGCTAGCACTTGGGCAAGTATTCCCTTCACAGACACCAACCAGCAGCGAGGGAGCAGGGCAGAAGTGGAGGCATCAGCCACCCTCCCAAGCCTGGCCCTGGGTGCACACCAGCCTGTACAGGTATGCATTTTCCTCCCAGGGACATGCTGAATAAAAATGTCTCTTTGAGTATGCAGATTTTTTCCCCTGTAATGAAAATGTGAAAAGACATGAGAAAAAATAACTCTGGTTTTCTTTAAAGTTTCAACAAAATGAAAGTTATTTGAACCTGAGATTATTCTTGCCATATGAAAAGTAAATATTTAATCTAAACAAATCCCCCAGGCTTCCCTTAGAGCCAATGAAGAAAGACAGGGATCTCTACACGGTCCGTCCTACTATCTTCTTAAGATACTTAACTTAAAGGGATAAATCCCTCTTGGGAGGTATCTGCTGCTTTCCTCTGGTTA